GCTCGATCAGGTTCAGTGATCGAGTGCCGGTCTCGGCTTGTTTAGAAAATGGGTCGTGACAAAAGTGGTTGCTGGAGACAAAAATTCTGTTTATACAGAAGAGGCAGGTGTAGCATGTATACTGTGAAGGAAAGGCCTCCGATGTCAAATCTTAGTCCAGGATTTTCCACATACAAGGAAATAATCTCCATCCAGTTTCAGCCAAATGCAAATGCGTTTACGAAATGCAATTTCCCTTGCCAATCATGACACTGAAACACATATAAGAAAGTCTTTTACAGCCTACGATTTACAAGGCCCATGCCGTTTGTTTAAACCATGAATCTGAAACACAGGAAATAGTAAAAGCTTAGTTTTTGCACACATATCCTTCTTGGAGAACGGAGAAACAGGTCACAAGTAACCACTGGAAAAAGAGATGCTTTAGGATAAAGCAAGACCTATTAAGGTGAACACATATTTGCTAAAGACATTTTAAGAGCCAATGAGGCACTCTTTGCTAGTATAAGATTCATTATATAGCAGTCTTTTGCAACTTTCTTTGTTTGAAACCCTTCAATCGCGACTTAGGATTGTTTCTCGAGAGTTGATACTTCTTTTGGCATCTCTAATGATCTGCTTCATCTTTGCATTGTTGGTACATCCTTCTGTAATCATGTTGGCCACAATCAGAGAATCAAGCTTTAGATGAAATCTGGTGTAGCCTAGCTGTATACACCATTTACCACCAAGTTTAGCTGCTACAGCTTCTACCTCGTTTTTTACATTGAATTGAACAGATATTGAGAAAGCCATGATGAGATCTCCATTAGAGTCTCTTATTATCCCTCCTATACCTGCTCTCCGAGTATCCTATTTACATTGAACAAGTAAATAGGATGCTTTAAAAGCAGATTTAAGGGGGAAAGAAAATCTATTGCAGAGAAAAAAAAAAGCATTGATCCAAAGCCACCATTTGCAATCTTTTATGAACAAAAGCTAACTTACCTAATTCCCAGCTTTGTGCAATCAGAGTCTCCAAAGGCACCACTCTGCACAATGTTCCAATCTGTGCCCTGAAAATTAAATAGGAAAAAGGAAATACTGTTGAAGACAGTGAACATAATTGGGAGAAGCCTGTGCTATCATGGAAGTTCACATGTTGGTCCAAAATGAAATCTGTCTTGCATCTAAGAGTCCATTGTCAGTGGCTTTTAATATATGAATATTAACATGGGAGGAGGGTCCTTTTTTTTTTTTTTGCCTCTCTACATTTATCCTTCTTTTATGCAAGAGCAACTGATTATACCAATCATGACAAACCAATGTTATGCCAATCAAATACTTCACTTTCCTAAAGATATGGCAGTTTTCTTTACACAAAATCACATCACTTTCCTAAAGATACTCTTTTGTTGAACGATAATCGTGCAAAACAAACAGAACTTTTGAATCATTGTGTTGCATAGGTACTAACTTACCTCGACTAAGTTAGTCCCTATGCAACCAAGGGATCAAAAGAGGTAAGGTAAGCGATAAAAACAGTGCTAACCAGGGGATCTAGGAGATTAACAACTTGGAAGATGCTTACATAGAAACATTGGTCCCATAAAAGTAGAGAATCTTTCAACCTACTGGATGAATGTCCCTCCAACTGTTCAATCCATTCAAGTCTCAGTTCTTCCCCAAGGGAGACTGCTAGAAAAGCATCCCTGTTAAACAGTACAGCATTTTCATGAGAAAAAGGAGCTGAAAAGTAAAATCGACGAAATTGTTCTTAGGCATACTTCTACACAACTTTTAAGTCTAGGCTGGCATGGGAGCAAGGTGCACCTAATACTGCACATCCATTTTGTCTCCAGAGCTGCCAACTCAGCTCTTTTTATGTCATCTTCAGAGTCTTCCTTCCTAACACCTCCTACGGTTGTTGCCAAAGCTCCGAGTGAACCCGAAATAGGCCATGGACTTGGATCTACCAAATGTGTCATAGCAACCTCCACAGCTACATCACAGGAACAGCTCATGAACTTAATTCAATTGCACCTCCCTGTACACCTTTTATTATCTTCAACATAGTACCTGAACAGATATGACAAATACTGATTCTTCTTCTTTAGTACAGGTTGGAAGAGGGGAGGGGTCAGACATTAATACAACAAAGGAAATGGGGAAACTTGGTAGAATTTTAATATTGTGAGAATGTAATAGACACTCCTATCATCAACGTACAACACAGGATTATTTGAAGTGAAGCTCTGGCCAACGAAAGCGGAAGAATTATATGGAGAGAAGCACCAAATTGACAGAAACTAATGTAGGCTCTTCCTAGCAGCTTACATTCTAACAGTTAAACAATTTCATAGATAGTTGACTGATGCAACAAGGAGGACCAAAAAAAAAAGCAAGACAAAAAGATCCTTATGAAACGGGGAATATCATATTGTAGGAGATCATTCACATGATAAATTGATAAATTAAATAATTTCTTTGATCCAAATGCCAAAACTCATTTTGAGCTATAAAATGCTGCTGGAGTCAACTCGGCATTAAAATAAGTTAAACACCAAGTTTCGATGAGAGTAGATATCAGACTTTATGGTCAAGTAATATTGCAGAAACTTACAGGGGGAATAAAAAGGCAAACAAGGCCATCCAAAGATGAAGGACAGACCTGTATAGTTTCTCACTGAACACCCTTTAAGCTTTGGGTTTATTGATGTTTCATATGGAGACTTCAGTTTCCTCAAAAAGGTTGCTTGGTACACAAACAAGGCCAGAATGTGGATCATATAATTTCGCACTTCCATTGAAATTTAATCTGCAAAAGGAACTACCAAACATTAGAGCAACCTTTTGTGATGCATTTGCATCCTTGTAGAACACCAGCTGAAGAGAGTAATTACTTAGAGTGCTGACTCTGAGCAAATCGTTCTCAGAGGTCTTTGGTTTTCAATTACTTGTTCCTATCTGCCCAGTCTATGCATAAATAACTTCAAAAACAAGTTATTTTTCCTATTACAAGGAATAAAAGAAGACCAAGTAGGAAAAAAAAGAGGTTTCAAGTGAAAAATCCACAGAGACAATCAAACAGTTTCAAGTGGAATTGCAAAATACTGAAGGAAAGCATTCAATTCACTGACAACTTTGCAATTTTCGTGATGTCATATAATTGCAAGTAGAAGGATTGAATTAATACAGAACTTTTTTTTCCTGGAATTCTTCAGTACCACAGTAACATGTATCGGTTTGGGGAATGAGAAGTTTGGAAAGCCAAGGGAGAGGAGGATGGAGGAGATTTTGAAAAAGAAAAAAGATAGACTCAGAAACTGAAAGAGAAACAGAGACTTACCGAAAAACTGAAGTATGGGAACCGTAATTTGGCTTGTCAGATTGGTGCAACTTTCTTCTAACTGTGGGCAGTTATGAATTTCCAGGTGCCGTAATTTGGTGAGCCGTTGAATGGCATCTCTAGATGGCAGATGTTGTAGTTTTTCGCAGTTACTTAAAATTAACTCTTCCAAAGAAACAAGGTTGACGAGCCCATCCGACAGAGCTTCTAGCAATGGACAATCACGGATCTCCAAATGCTGTAATTTGGGCATGGCATCTAAGAAGTCTACATGTTTTAGAAGTTTGCACCTCACTAGCGTCAATTTTCCAAGAGAAGTAAGGTTGCCAAGACTATGAGGAAGAACCTCGATTCCAAACTCAACTATTCCAAGCTCTGTTAGGGCAGAAAGTTGCATAAGCTGATAGGGAAGAGAAACCCAGTGCGCACGTCCATACACCCACAATGTACGAAGGGACGATAGCTGCTGAATGCCATTAAAAATCAATTGGAATGCATCAAAATCCACCAACTCTGAGAAAGGACCTATTGACAATGCCCTTAAACCAGTGAGACAGTAAAGGCCCCCTGTGGGTACACTATTCAGTTTGGGACATTCTGATATAGCTATAGCTGAAAGTGAAGGCATTTCCCACACATGAAAAGGGAAGGAAACTAAGTTGTTACAGTTGTAGACCGCCAAAGACTCCAGAGACGGACAATGCTCTAGCAGACCACTTGGTAAGCTAGTCAATCCATCACAATTGTATAACTGAAGACTTTGGAGGGAAGCCAAATGATTCTGTCCACTGGGAACAGGAATGGAACTGAAATTGGTGCAGTCCTTAATTATCAAGCTCTTAAGAGAACGGAGACTGTACAAACTCTGTGGAAATTCACGAAACTCTCCGCAATTTAAGACGCATAGATGTTGAAGAGAAAAATTGTTGTGTAGCATTTCATGTGGAAGACAAGTGAGCTCTTTCACATTATTGACAAAAAGCTCAACGAGAGAAGTCAATTTGCTGCACAAGTTCAACAATGGCATTTCATTGTTAACTCCTTCAATGCTTAATTCACGTAAGATTTCAAATTGATTTGGAGTGCTTTTTAACAACGGACATTTACTAATACACAACATCTCAAGCCCAGGAAACATTCTTACTCCAACTCCGTCTCTACCACCACTTCCAGTTGGCATCACTTCCACTCCCTTCCACTCAGTGAGGCTAGGCATGTCCTCCAATACTAGTTTTCTTAGTAACGGGAACACTTGAATATTAGCGTTATTGCTTCTTGCTCCATTATTGTTAACTTCAACACCATAAAATGGAGGTCCAATGCATTCCAACGTGTGGAAGCCCACCAGTTCAAGATGCCGAAGGACTTTCAGTTGGCCGAGCGATGGAATTTCTTTGCACTTTCCGCAGCCACTTAATTTCAACTTGACCAAATGTGGTAGCAACTCTTCACTGAACCATGAAGGAAATCTAGTCCCCAAATAGTCCATTACTGCTAAGTTTTTCAAGTTAGGATGTGGTTGAAGACCATCCAAAACATCCTCATCATTTATTTGACAGTCTTCTGGTTCATCATGGGACCATAGAAATGCCAGCTTGTAGATATTTGGTTTCTCCTGTAGATATGCTCTTCCAGCTTCTTCTCTATTACGGACCAATTGCAGACCGTTGATCGTCAATTCACCTCTAAGGTTTTTTAAGAAACCTAATTCTTCTATTCGACGACCTTTCTCTAAACCTACCTTGAAAAACTGTAGGGTTTGAAGACAAGTTAATTGACCCATCTTAAGTGGCATATGAAAGAGATAATTACCAATACACCATTCTCCCCAACCCGTAGGATGATGATAATTTGGTTTGTATTTAGATTTGTAATATATATGCCTCAAACTTATCATGTCTCCCATTTCGTCTGGAAGCACCTCGAGTGAAAAGCAGTTATTGACTCGAAGTGTTTGCATATTGTAGAGCTTGCAAATGGAGTTGGGCAATGCTTTGATCATAGTGTTGGAGAGATTAAGATATCTCAAGTGTATAAGCTTGCCGATTGAGACTGATATCTCCTTGATGGCTGACCTGGACAAATTTAAAACTCTCAAGAACTGAAAGCTCAATAGCGTATCTTCAGATATATGATTACTTCTCAAGAACAATGTGCACAAATGTCCTGGCTTATTTATCTTATCTATTTGATCTCTTGGTGAGTTCCATCCAAAGTATCGAACTTGAGAAAGATTTTCTCCACCATCGCTCTTCTCATCAAATAGTTTAGATTTTAAAATATCTCCAGCCAAATCATGCACAAGACCATGCATCTTACAGTGTGTTATATTGTTGTGCTCATCTAGCTCAACATCTTGCAGCAAGGAATTTTGCAACAAAAGTTGAAAAAACCTGTTCCCGATATCTTCCATCACAGAGGTCTCTTGACATGGGCGAAGATATCCTTCTGCCATCCAGAGTTGGATTAGTTGGTCCTTTTCAAACTCAAAATCTTTTGGAAACATTGCAAAGTAAGCAAAACATTTTTTCAGATGTGGAAATGGTAGATAATCATAGCTGAGTTTTAGTATTTTCTTCAAGCTACTTTCCCCACTATCATCGTCACCTGCAACAAGGGGATTGCCCTCAAGAATTGCCTGCCATTCATGTTTCTCTTTGTTGTGTAGGAGGCCTCCCAACACACTTGCTGCCAATGGTAGACCTTTACACATTTCAACAATCATGTTGCTCATGCTCCCTAATTCCTCTGTAACCTCCCCATCAACAAATGCTCTTTGTTTGAAAATGGACCAACAATGATCATCTGTTAAATTTTTCAACTTATGAGGATCTGCTGCTACTGAGGATGCCACCTGATCCCTACGAGTAGTCACAAGAATGCAGTTTCCTCTGAATGTATTTATTCCACTCAGAGTGTCCACAAACTCATGCCATATTGTAGGGTCGACACGCCACAAATCATCCAGGACAAGCAAATACTTCTTCCCTCCCAATTCATCTTGCAGCTTCTTGACTATAATATCCCTGCTTTGCACCTCAGGTTTCCTTTCTGTCAATGATTCAAGGATTAGTTCAAGAAAGCTCTTAGTTTCTAACATTTCAGGTAGACACAACCAGACTCTCTTTTCAAAATGCTGCTTGATATGGTCATCATTGAAAATTCTCTTAGCTATAGTTGTTTTCCCTAAACCTCCCATACCCACTATGGGAATGGTGCACAAAACAACATTCTCTTTCACGTTCAACATTTTCCTCTTTATTTCAGCAACATCCTTGTCTCTACCAACAACATCAGAAACAACTACCATGGAATCCGTTTCTCGAGTTGATAGTATTTGCCGGGGAGGAACTATTAGGGGTTGGAGACCGAGGTTATTGGCTAACTGATTGATAGTCCTCAACTCTTGAGTGATGTTGTTGATTTTTCGAGACATTTTGATCTTAAAAGCTGTATGAGAAAAGAGACCACTGACCTTTCTCATTGGGTTGTTTCGGATCTTCACTTCTCTTCTGCGAGATTCATAGGAGAACTCATCAAACACATTTTCAACATCTTCAGCAACCCTCTCAAGCCTCTTGAGCCATTGTTCCACAGCCTGATCCTCAACTTGTCGTCTTTCAGCATCGTGAATGAAAGCTTGGATCATGGATACATTTTGTGCCAGCATATCGACATATTTGTTGCAGTCCCTTAAACTTTTGACTTCCTCAATAGTGAGAGAAAGCAGCTTCTCAAGCAAAACTTGAACAGTAGCACCAATTACAGGATCGCACATTGTTGCTTTGCTCTTTCACACAGTTTTCTTCCTCTACACCAAAGTCTTCCTAAAGTACTTGTAGAGTCTTCTTTTGCTATTGTTTGTTAGTGGACCACTATTTGATTCGAGTTTAAGGAAAAAAGAAAGAAATTTTTTGAAATTTATGTTCTTAAAAGGTTAAAGGAGTTATACCATGATACTTGTGTGTGTGAGTATAAAAGTTTCTCATTAAAGATAAATGAGTAAAATGAAAGAGTTTAAAATTGAATTATTTTCAAATTTAAAAATATGTCATTTATTTTGGAATGGACTAAAAAGAAAACCACCTAATTTAATATAATATGAAAGGAGGAAGTAATAATTTACAGCCAGACAAGAAAATTAAAATAGCCCCGACTTGGTGTTTTTTGGTTGTTTCTGTATGCACCTATAAAAGATCTTTTGCGTTTGGAATGTGTGGACACTAATGTCCAGCTCAAGAATAAACCCTAAAACTACTAGAAAAAGGTTTACTATCTTTTACGGTACTGCGGTAAGAAAACAAAACATTTCTCTTCTCCAGTCACTTGTCTGGGACATACAAACAAGAATAACAATGGCATTTTGCCATTTTGGCACAACAGACATGAACAACAAACAGTGTACCATTTTGACATGCAAATCCACCAATCGGATTCTCTTCTTCTTTCCATCAAATCAAAATCCACTATTTTCATAACCAATGATTTATTTCAGTCCAAAAAAAGCCATATTAGTAGGATAGCCCGAGTATTTTTCAGATTTGTGGTAAACGGTACGGTCAAAAGGGTTGAGTGTTCAGGGTTAATGCCATTGTGAGTGTGAGCACAGTGATTTTTGCTTCACCGAAATCACTCCAAAAAGAAATCAAAAAATAAAACAAGTTATCTTTGGGTACAATTGTGAGAATTTGCATGACATTTTTGGTAATCATTTTTGTCCGTAAATGTTTACCTTTTTTGTATTAATCGCAAAATGTAAAATAAATATATTACATGCTTATTTGGGAATTAATTGTACATTTAGGAATTAATTAAATCATGGTTTAGTTTTTAAAGAAAAATCGCAAAATGTATGTTTTCGCCTTGTGTTTTGTTGCCGTGGTGTGATTTTACTTATTTAAATATTTTAATATGTGTGTGATAATTGTGTTAAGTGTTAATTAATATGTGTTTAGTTTTACTTTAATTAGGTATTGTGTTTAAATTAGAAAATAAAAAGAAAAGAGTGCAAATTGGTCTAAATCGGATTGGGCCATTTTATTTAGAAAATTCTAGGCCCAAAAGCACCAAAAACCAGCCCAAAGGCAGCCGGTCCAAGAGACCCATCGCCCAGGCCACTAAACGACGTAGTTTGACACCAAAACTACGCCGTTTCAAGAACAATCCATCTCAGCCGTTCAAACCAAGTTGATCTGACGGCCCTCGTCACATATCCATACCCATTGTTTAAACCCGACCCGTCCAAACCGACCCAACCCTCTTTTAGACAAAACGACCTCGTTTCATATAGTTAAAGAAATCCAAACCGTTGATCTCATCAGATCCAACGGCTTGGATCCAC